TTGTTAGCAGAAATTCAGTGAATTTTAGTCGCTTACATGGTACAACCTTTATATGATGACAACAAACCTTCTTCCTTTCTTCAGGTAAAAGTACTGTTTGCAAAATGATCATCGATCAGCTATGTGATCAGTGTATAGTTGTTGTTACTCAGGTTTTGTGTATTACAGCTCTGATTGCGCTTCTTATGATATTTGGACCATCCATTCTTTCTTGACAAAGTCACCAGTAGTTTATTTCTGCTGTTTTATAAGTGTGTAGTGTCATTAATTATGCATTCAACTTTTTATCAACATCCCTTGCTATAATTTTATTCTAATCATACGATGGGTACAAGCTCTCAAGCAATAGGAATTTTTATCTCAAATGTCACAGGAGTCATTTTATTATGGACTTCCTAATGAGGAATCGTTATGTGTTCATGATTATAACTTTGATCATCTAGGTACAATGCATGTTTCATGAGAACCTGATGTCTCTTTTGTTATTGGCAAGAGATGTGCACTGACTTTGTTACTGATGCTGCTCCTGTCCTAATTGCAGATGCATTTGATATGGATTTACTACTCTCTTGTATGGAAACACTGAAACAGGGTAATGTTGTTGACATTCCGAGTTACGACTTCAAAACACATAAGAGTGTCTCATGTGCAAGAAAGGTAATACTATACAAAGGTGTGGTCAGGACCATAGTTTTAAATAGCCGGCTATAGCCCCGCTATAGCTGTTTGAGGGTGTTGCCGCTAAATGATTTCATGTACAATTTGCCGCTATAGCCCCGCTATAGCCTGCTATAGCCCAGCTATAGCTGTTTTTAAGGGTCGCCGCTAAATGCCATAGCCCGCTATTTAAAACATTGGTCAGGACCAACAATAATTTGATAAGATGCTGAAATCAAATTTCTGGTAACGACATTCTTCTAATGGATCTGTATCTGCTATAGATCATTAGTTCTTTGCAACAATTTGATAAGATGTTGGAATGAAAGGTGTCATCAGGACTAACAAGAAAAAAATGACAGTCATAATCGAAAAAAGACTTATGTCATCAAATGTTTCCTGTAAGAAACAAAATTGTTTAAGGGGAAAGCGTTTCGTAATATTTACCAACCTTCTGTTATGTGAATGTCAAATGAAATTAAAATAGTAAATCACCTCCTTGTCAGCAAGAAGTTTCTTGCTGCGACTGATTTGTAACATTGGAAGCCATGGCACTCTAACCATGTTGTGAATAATGCAACATTTCTCATACCATTTTTATGTATAAATATTTTGTCGGAAAGAATTGTGCAATTATGCCTTATAAATCATAACTCTTGGATGCAACTTCTTTCACAATTTTTTTGTCAGGATGTATGACTACTTTGATGAAAATTTACTAGTTGACTTTTGTTTTCTTTGCATTTCAGATCTGACAGATAAAGGCACTGTGCCTTGTATCATGCATTCCCATCTTGGTATCTGTTTGTAACATCAACATTTTTGCCATGCTAATTGGTTACTTTAACTTATTACATATTGCATTTCTTATATTTCTATGTATGTTTCTTTTAACTAACAAACCACTCTATTGATACATCGGTAACTATAACCGTTTAACATTCTTTTGGTACAGTGAACCATATTCACCTATTCAATTGTCATGATCCATTACAGGAATCACATTTCAAGCAATCTATTCATTGTGCATTTTTGGTGAGGTTTGCATGCGAGCGGTGGGAGGAGCACATGAGAGGCGAAGGCGGCAGCGGCAACGATTTTGATCGATGGTACGCCTCCCTGCGATTTCGATCAATCATACGCCTACCTGCTGGAGGCGGTGGCGTGATCCTGCCGTGCCACCTGACGCTAGCTTCCTTACCGGGCTACTGCACCAAGACTTGCCCGTCTGTATCCCCTTATGCTTTCCACTGGACTCTCGCTGTCAGGTCAAGAAAGAGGGCGACAGAGACGACATCCTTGCAGGAATGAGCTTCCACGGAGGAATTGGAGTGGGAGGAGGAGATAAAGCTGGGCATGGTGATGAGGTTTGGGGGCTCATCCGCGTCGTTGGCAGCAAGCATGGAGGAGGTGGCGGGGCTCAGCCGCGGTCGTCTGGCAATCACTTAGTATACTTATATGTCTCAATTTCTAGAAATCTTATATTCTTCTATAATCGTTTACAAACCCATGAGAACAAGTCATGGGAGCTTAATTATGTTAAGCGCCAATATATTACGCTCATCAAATCAGCCTATCATCACTTGCCAAATTCTTTTTCTTATTTTTCCAACCAACAACTTGCACCTGACTCAGCTATTGCATATAATGCGGTTTTAGTTTTTTCTAACGTGAACAACCAATATATTTCGTTGAAGAGGCTCTCATTGCTTGCATGCAGATGTACCACACAAATCACAAAGAAGCAACAGAAAAGAGCAGAGTGCCTACCTAGCACCGCAGCGGCACGCCTCAGGCGGCGCAGAAAGGCTGTGCCCCAACAACTAGTGTCCAACATTGTGTTGCAGGCCACTCACATCCATGAAGAAATGGTGGGGCTGCTCTGCTGAGATGGCCACGGATAAAGAAGGAAAAAGGGACTGAGGCTGTTACTACTATGTATGTTGCCTGGAATATTTGGAAAGAGCGAAACGGAAGACTCCTTGAAGGAAAAGATACCACCACATTACCGGGAGCTGCTGAACTTGTCTGAAGCTACGTCGCTCTTCTTTAAGATGCTTGCCAGAACTAATTTAGGCCTTTGTACAGCGAAGTGCCATCTTATCTTGGCTGGTTCGATTGTTTAGCCTTTTGTTTTCTGATCTTTACCCTGTAAAGGGATTGTAATTCCGCCTTTTCAATGCCAAGCCCCTCTTTGACAGTCCTGGTTTTGGCCGTTGTTATATTCATTTTCTACATAAGCAATATCCTTACGCTTCTGCCTTCCTTCTGAACACAGCGTCTTACCCCAAAATCTCTCTCTCCCACAGCTCGCAACCATTGCGGTTCAACCCCTCGTTTTACGTGGTCGCGCGTGTCTGACTCTCAGCATCGATGCTCTGTAACCCCTGCCTGCCATTGCATAACATGGCACCCTGCAAGGTATGCATGTGCTGAAAATGCACGCTGCTGCAACAAGGCAGGTGTTTCGCTAGGCCGGCAAGTGCACGCTGCTGCAACAAGGCAAGCGTTCCTTTAGGCCGGCAGCTGGTGCGAACAGCGTATGCAGCAGAGGCAGCTGGGGCTATTGCGAGGCCTAGTGGTAGTTGTGCTTGCTCGCTCCTGCAAAGGTCTTCCAGGAATGCTAGCGGCGCTGTGGCAAGCTACAAGCAGAGTGCCAAACAAGCAAGCGATGCTGCAAGTGGTAACCATTGCTGGAAGGCCAGGAACAAGTACGACGAGGGGGCACTATTGTGGTGTGATGCCGATAGGATTTTCTGCGAGCGCGATGCCGCGACTGTGTCCACCGGTGGTGTGAGGCCAGAGACGGGTATGACAAGGGAGTGTTGCGGTGGTGTGCTGCAAGCCGGTGTTGTGAAGGGAGCACCGTGTTGAAAAGGCCGCCGAGGGTGCTTTTTTTTGGAAATGAAGGCGTGCCCCACCCCCCCTGCATCTGCATCATAATGATGCATGCGACCATCTTATTAAAAAGTCTCGAAGTAGCACAAAAGTCATAAATGTATTACAGCTCACAAGCGAAGCAAAAGAAAGAAAATAAAAGTACATGCTTTGAGTTGCAATGATGATCGACGGTGTTGTGATGGCAGCCGATGATGCTGCATGGCGATGGAGATGGCCGTTTGTGAGCCTCCAAGATGACCGGACGACGCGATAAGGACGACCAAGGATTTCATCAAACGGCCGGGAGTCGACAGATCTGGGAGCACGACTGGTCGCTCGACTCCTAGTACTAGCCATATTTGTTTTCTGAAATTTAATTTAGCCATATTATTTTGACTACAGAATTAGGTGGGACCAGTCACGGGGACTCAGCGTGGCGTGCTGCCCAAGAAATCGACCAAATCCAGCCTTTTATTGGTTGCCGTCGTCGTAGCTAAGCCTCCCATAGAATCAATCTACCCAGCGAGCTTCAAACCAGGTCGCTCCTCGTCTTCGATCACTTCCAAAGAGATGGGGGAGGGGGAGAAGGCCATGATTAGAGTACTGTCCGTCACTGCCGTCGGATTGGCCTGTACCGCGTTGAGGCTGTACGAGAAAGAGCTCAGGTCCCTCTTCACCTCCAGGCCGGCCTTCCTCAAGACCTTGGACCCCGCCGGGGCTGATCCGGTCATCGGCCGCGACGACGAGATCGACCGCGTCATCTGCATCCTCTGTGGCCGGACCAAGAACTGCGCCGCGCTCGTCGGCGCGGCCGGCGTCGGCAAGACGGCCATCGTGGAGGGCCTCGCCCAGCGCATTGCCGCTGGGGCGGTCCCCGCCACGCTCGCCGGGGCCCGCGTGGCGGAGCTCGACGTCGGGGCGATGGTCGCGGGGACTCAGTGGCGCGGCATGTTTGAGCAGCGCTTGAAGGATGCCATCAAGCAGGTGGAGGATGCCCGCGGCAAGCTCATCCTCTTCATAGACGAGATGCACATGATTGTTGGTGCTGGCGACCGAGACGGCACCGGGGACGCTGCCAACATCCTCAAGCCGGCGTTAGCCCGTGGCCGCATCCGTTGCATAGGCGCAACCACATCCGAAGAGTACCGCAGACACATTCAGAAGGATGCGGCGCTCGATCGGCGGTTCCAAAGGGTTGATGTCGAGGAGCCGAGCGTGCCGGCGACCGTTGCCATCCTGCAGGGGTTGAAGCACCGGTACCAAGACCATCATGGACTGACGATTCGCGACGACGCTCTAGCTGCTGCCGCACAGCTCGCCACCCGTTATATTACAGGTAGTATATTCGTCATGTGGTTAAGAATTTAATTTAATGTACTTTCATATTGGGTCTGTGCATCTTGAAGAAATTGTGGATTTTACTCTTGTCAGGTCGCCAGTTTCCTGATAAAGCAATTGATTTGATGGACGAGGCATGCACTACCGTGAAGTTGCATAAGCAAAAAGAAGTTCAAAATAAGGAAACTAACACTACAAATGCACCGGAGGAGTTAACCGTTGGTCCATGCCATATTGCCCAGGTAAATTAACATCCCTTGCTAATCGTATCAGTGTGAGTAGTTTTCATTTGTTTCCGTGTGATGTTCATATGCCATGTTCTATTGTTATATGAAGGTTGTGAGCCGGTGGACTAAAATTCCGATCACCACACTTGGTAGAGAGGAAGAGAAGTTGAGCCACCTAGCAGACAGATTGCATGAGAGGATTGTTGGACAGTTTGAAGCGGTTAACTTGGTTGCCCAAGAAGTGCTACGTTCTAGGGTCGGCTTTGATCAATCTGGCCAACCAATTGGCTCTTTCCTCTTTTTGGGCCCGGCTGGTGTTGGAAAGACAGAGCTTGCGAAAGCACTTGCGGAGAAGTTGTTTGACAATGAGAAGGCATTAGTCCGCTTTGACATGTCTGAATATGCCGACAGTGGTTCTGTGTCACGTCTCGTTGGAGGACCTCGAAGGTTTAGCTTCTACACACTTTGGACTTGTATTTCTTTCTGAAATTCCTACTCATGTCTCACTTTTTCATTCGACTTTCTGAAGCTATGAAGAAGATGGACAACTCACCGAGAAAGTCAGGAGCCAACCGTATAGCGTTGTTCTTTTTGACGACGCGGATAAGGCACATCCCTCGATATTCAAGGTTCTCATTCAACTCCTTGATGATGGCATGCTGGTTGATGGGAAAGGACGCAACGTAAATTTCAAGAACACTATCATCATCGTGAGCTCAACTCTAGGAGCAGAGAACCTGTCAGCTAGAATGGACCGAGAAAACATAGAAACTGCACGAGATCTTCTCATGAAACAGGTATGTGTATCCCAAACTGTCCCTTGTAAAGTCCCGGTGCGCACCCTGTCGATTGATAAATTTACTTGTTGATGATGCAGGTCGAGAAACGCTTTAAGCCTGAATTTCTCAACAAACTGAGTGAAATTGTGATGTTTGAGCCGCTTTCACACGATGAACTGAGGAAGATCACGAGAATCCAGATGAAGAGGGTCATTGATACAGCAGCTTATAAGGGCATCTCTCTGCTTGTAACAGATGCCGCATTGGATGTCATTTGGTCAGAAGCACATGACACGGTAAGCACAACATGTTATTTTTACCAAACCAAATCATACTTATTTGGGTAGTTATTTGTACATATCCTGCTTACGATGCATACATGTACTATGTATTGCAGGTGTATGGCGCAAGGCCTATTAAAAGGTGGATGAAGAAAAATGTGACGAGAGTTCTTGTGGACATGCTGGTCAATGGAGAAGCATGTCAAGGGTCGACCATCTCCATCGATGCCGCTGACGATAATAAGGGGCTGAAATACCAGGTACAGAAGTAGCATGCCGGAGGTGGCAGATCTACGTGGCCAACTATGAGTTCTGCGTACTATATCTGTATCTGTAACAAAACGGTCAGTACAAGTTCCAGGTTTGCGGCTACTTAATCTTGCTTGGTGGGACTTGTACTTCACGATGTGCCCACCGAGGAAAGGGAAAACCTCTATGACTGACTGCTACTGAGTTTAGATCTTCTATATGAAAACTAAGCCTCGGCTTGAGCTGACTCTGATTTTCTACGTCGAAACCTTTCTCCCTCTCAGCCAGCGCACCCTCCTCAGTCGGAGCCACCGATGCTCCCCCAATCTGGCGTCCGCCTTGTCAAAGGTGCGCATCGGCCATCTCTCTGACAATCAGCCATTGGGCCTCGCTCGGGGAGGTGGCGGGCTTGAATTAGCCTATCTGAATTTGAGATGCCATTGTAATATTTGAAGAAGAAGGACGGTCAGTACATCGCTTACCTGGGAGCTTGTGCCCAATCAATGTCGACCGGTTGGAACGGCAACATCGAGCTTGGACGTTATGTAGATATGACCCGGCGAGGGTGTGAAAGCTCGGTGGCGACAAGATGTAGCTGCTAGAGGTCAATGGCCTTGAGAGCCACACTACCATACCAAACTCGGCGTAAAAGGGCATACATCTGACAACTTGAAAACTAAGCCTCGGCTTGAGCTGACTTTGTGACTCATTTTCTCTCTCCAGCAGCCGCGCCCTCCTCAGCCCCGAGCCCCCGACGCTTCCCCGATTTGGCGGCCGCCATGTCGGTGGTATGCATCGGCGGCACATTGTAATTGTGCCATCTCTCTGAAAACTCGCTCGGGGAGGTGGCGGACTTGAATAAGACTTTGAGATGTTCGTGTAATAGTTGGAAGAAGAAGAACATGCAATACATTGCTTACCTCGGAGCTCATGCTCAATCAATGTCGACCGATGTGCATGGTGGCAGCGATCTTAGCGAGGTTGTGGAGAGAGGACCCGATGTGGGGGGTGGAAGCTCGACGGCACCGACCCAAGGCTTTGAGAGGTCCATGGCCTCGAGCGCCTATTCAGGTCTCCCATTTGTTCTTTGATTTTGCTCCTTAAATGGAAAAATGTTACAAAGATTGCCCACTAGCATTGATGGATCATGTCCCTTGGATCACTAGAATGGATGGTCCACACTCCTTAAGAAGGCAAAATTACTCGGCTAATTGGATAAAACCAGATGAAAACTCCATTCAAGGGCATGAGGTTGTCCTCTGGTGGAAACTAGCGAAAACTACATTTAGCATATAGCAATTCTTTTCCGTGGCAAAAAACCTAGGTTTTCTTTGCCCTTTGTGGGTGCTCGTACGTCACCAAGAGTTTCCTCAGTCAACTATGAGATTCTCCCCGTTGATTGTCGATCTCTCTTCCTAAGTTCCACGGGTTTGTTTCGTCCATGGAGCTAGGGATACTGAAGGCAGATATGGCAGAAAGTCTAGTGGAATAAGCAAGAACTTTGTTGAAGATCTACTGGGCCGATTGCATCTGCATGAGGAGAACAATAATGACCTTGTGTGGGAAGATGAAGTCATGGAACTCCCGCAACAGGCCAAGTGGCTGGCGATCATGAAAGTGCACAAGACACGAGGGGTTTAGCATAGTGTGTTGTTCTTCAACATAAGATTGGCTTGGAATCATGCATAAGACGTAATTTGGAGAAGGATTGAAGATAACCTCTTTACGATTAAATCCAAGTGTTTAGGGGACTGGAACAAAGCTATGTTCATGGGGGCTTTTTAAAACCAAGCTCTATTGATTGAAGAGTATGACGGATTTTCGGAATCCTAGATTGATAGTCCTTGAGAAGATATTTTTCTGGGCGCAAGTGCATATGTTGCTGGATAATTTCATCCATGAAAAGAACATGTGTGGCATATGTAGGACTATGGATGAGATACTTGAGGTTTAGATCAGGTTGTCAGCTGGTTTAGTAGGAGAGTTTTGCCTTCGTGTAAAGATGAATGTTAACAAAATAATCACTAGGTTTGTGTACATTACAAATGGAGGGGAGGAGTGGTACCAGGTCAAGTATGAGAAATTGCCAATCTTCTATGGTAATTGTGAATTGATGAGAACTTGCACCAGGAATGTGGTGACGGAATTCATGATGAATCAAAACTTGAATAGGGTGACATTATTTTAGCCGATGGAGGACGAGGTAGAGGTCCCAGCGGGGGCGATGGTCATGGTTTTGGAGGAGGATGTAGATGCGCTAGTCATGAAGGATATGACCGTGGGCGTGGTCAGATGTGAGATTGCACCTAGGCGTTTTAACGTTGTCTTTCAGGGGGTGGCAGTGGTGTACCTAAAAGATCTGAACCCGGAAGCAAGACCGAACCTTTATGTTAGCCATGATGTTAGGATGCATGAGGAAGAGGCGGTAAATGTTGTTAGAGATACGATAGGCAACATAACCATCAAAGATCAAATCAGCACAGAGGACACAAGGATTTTA